CCTGTGTAGATGTTTATTGTTAACAGACATGGAGATGAAAAGCAGACTACTGTAGTATCCCATTCCAGGCCTCCTGTTAAGGCATTAAATTTAGATATTTCCAATACAGCAAATCCCTGTTTTAGTTATCTGTTAAGTAATGATCAGCATAATAGTTGATGCTCCTCCAAAGTTCTTTTGACGTTTCCAGACCCTAAGCAAACTGTTTACTTAAGTAAAATGATTATAAATATGCACTGTTGGGATTATAGCTATGGTCTGAAAGGGGGGAGGGGGTGGGGGTACATATGCTCTGTCTCTTAATCTAAAAAAATATCATAGCTGACCTGTGTCCTCTCATCCAGTTTTTGGGGTGCCCAGTTATCATCATCTCAACTTCTACTTACATTTTCACAGTCGCACAATAGTTACGCTGCCCCACATTATGAACAGAGGAGGTTACTTTCTTGGCATGGGCGTCATTCAGGAAGCACTTTGCATTCTCTAAATAAATACAAAACTTTCTCTGATTGGACAAGGTATGGAAGCAGGGCAGTGTCACAATTTCCATCTTGTGAAATCAGGGAATTCTTTGCATTCATTGAGGAAATGCAAAACGTTTCCAGAATGGCACCTGTACTGAGTGGGTGACCTTCCGTGTTCAGAAAGCAGCAGGGCAGCCGCTTGACACGAGACCTGGAAGCTAGTGGAGATTACTGGTGTAGTGGTGCCTACTACAGTGATTCTCCAGTTCCATGGGGATCCCAAAATTTTTTCCAGAACAGCTGTGGTTGGTGAACATGACATTCTTGAAACTAATATAAAAAAAAAATTATATATATATATATATATATATATATATATATATATATTCCTCTTCAGTTGTATTCTTTGGCTTCATTAGCCCTTAAGACAACACTCATCTTCTGTGCTGAGTAAATTAGTCTTTATTGGTGTACCACAGCTAAAGTGATTAGTTTAGAACAGCAATGGGCAAACTACGGCCCGCGGGCCGTATACGGCCCGGCGGACCTTTTAATCCGCCCGCGGAGCTAGGCTCCCGCAAGGCCAGTGGTCGGCAAGCCGCGGCTCTTTACAAATTTAGATGCGGCTCTCCTGTGTGCCGGGCGCCCCCTCCCCTCCCTCCTCTCCCCTCTCTCTCCTCTCGGATGGCCGCCCCCCCTCTCGGATGGCCGCCCCCCCCCCCTCCTCTCGGACGTCAGGACTCTGCAGCTGTCAGGATGTAGGCGGGGCAGCCAGGATGTAGGCGGGGCAGCGTGACGAACTCCTCTCACAGTCCTCCCTGAAGACCAGAACGGCGCGGGAATACGAGAGGAACGCGCGGACCAAAGGTAAGTGAATTGACACAGGGGGGGGACTTACTATATGGGGGACTTACTATATGGGGGATGAATTACTATAGGGGGGACTTACTATATGGGGAATGAATTACTATATGGGGGACTTACTATATGGGGAATTAATTACTATATGGAGGACTTACTATATGGGGAATGAATTACTATATGGGGGACTTACTATATGGGGACTTACTATATGGGGGATGATTACTATATGGGGGACTTACTATATGGGGGATGAATTACTATATGGGGGACTTACTATATGGGGAATTAATTACTATATGGAGGACTTACTGTATGGGGAATGAATTACTATATGGGGGACTTACTATATGGGGGACTTACTATATGGGGAATGAATTACTATATGGAGGACTTACTATATGGGGAATGAATTACTATATGGGGGACTACTATATGGGGAATGAATTACTATATGGAGGACTTACTATATGGGGAATGAATTACTATATGGAGGACTTACTATATGGGGGATGAATTACTATATGGGGGATGAATTAATATGGGGGATGAATTAATATGGGGGATGAATTACTATGTGGGGGATGAATTACTATGTGGGGGATGAATTACTATGGGGGGGATGAATTACTATATGGGGGATGAATTACTATGGGGGGATGAATTACTATAGGGGGGATGAATTACTATGGGGGACGAATTACTATATGGGGGACGAATTACTATATGGGGGACGAATTACTATATGGGGGATGAATATGGGGGATGAATTACTATATGGGGGATGAATTACTATATGGGGGATTAATTACTATGGGGGATTAATTACTATGCTTACTATGGGGGAATATTACTATACTTACTATGGATGACACATACACATCATTCATCTACTCTTGGTCCGGCCCCCGGGTCCAATATATGAACCCATTGCGGCCCTCAAGTCAAAAAGTTTGCCCACCCCTGGTTTAGAAGGATGATGGTTCTGATATGCCTGATAGAATAAGACCCCACTGGTCCTCAAAGATGATACCAGACTTGACCTACATATTCCAGCAGAAAGACCAAGGTGAACCCTAGTAGGCGCTTTATTGCAATTCTTGACTCTTTTGAAGGACATCTGTTCCTTTGTCAGGTGAAAATATGCAATAAATTAGCACCTGATCCACCCTGGTTGAAGCTCCATTGCTCATTGCATCCTTATTTTGTTTTTAATATTGTTAAATTGCTATACAGGACCTTTATACCCAGACCTGCATGAGTTTCAGTATTGAAGTTCATTCTACCTATCAAATGTAAAAACAAATTTGGCTTAGAGGACAACTGCCCCATCAAAACCTTCTTCTGGGGCCCAGCCAAAGTTTAGGCATTAGTTTTGCAGCTTGTATTTAAACCATTGTCAACCAATTTCACAGAGACTGTTGGTGTTTTCATTGGTGCATTTGTATACTCTTATATCTGATAACGATCTTTGATATTGTATTTGTTAATGAAGATCTCAGTTTCATGTTTTCATCTCTAGATGTACATAACTCCCAAACCATGTCCTTTCATGTGTATAATGTCAGAGATTCTTCTCATGTTGCTGTTTTCATTGTACAACTCTCTGCTCTGCTGGCTGTGTGTAGCATATTGCTTTGCAATGCTGTCTCTGACCTTCTAGCAGTAAATGTGATCATTTTGAATGGAGAATGTGAGCTGGTGGGAGGTAATAATGTTACAGCTTGTTTCATTGTAGAAAAATCTTATTCAGACTGACTCCTCCTACACTGTTATGCAAAACAGAAAATAGCTATATTGTTAAAAAGCCGCCTTTTGTATGAATCACTTTTGTGAAATGACATAAAGAAGAGAGCCAATGCCTTTTTTTTTAAATATAAATGTTAGCAGTGTTTAAGTGTGTTTACATGGAAGTATTAGAGTTAGAAGCTGATTTACAAGACAATGTTTAACATAAAATTTATATAATAAATGTAATAATAAAGTATTACAATTTGGCACCCCAAATTCATCAGTCACTTGCATGTAAATGATGAAACTATTTCTTTCATCTGTTATGTGTTGAATAATTTGTAACTAGTGACTGGGGCATTTAAAAGAAAAAAAAATAGAGCATACCTCTAACAAACACTTTAACGTGCATCTAAATCCAGAGGTTTTTTCTTTTATTTTAGATAGAGAAGAGAAGGTTTAGAACCTCTCTCAAGCTTTTTCTAGTTTTTACATTTCCTTTAATTTTCTGTCCTGTAAGCACAACCAAGATGTGAGCTGAAATTTTTCCAAAGAGAGATTTCCCATTTCAGGCAGTGTTCTTTGGAACAGGTGTCCCTGTCAGAAGATTTTCCCTTTATTCCTCTTCTGGTAACAACTGAAAATGTTTGTATTTTCCCTCACTTTCATTCCAGATGAAATTCTTATCTGGCCTAATATAGAGGGTGAATATTTCCCAGTGAGGACTCAGACACCAATAAAAATCTAGCAAGTTCAAATCTCTTCCCACTTTATTCAAAATAAAAAAGAAAAAGTTTTGACTTTAGATACGCGTTAATTATGCTGCTGTTTAACTCTTCCACTGCCAATAACGTATGACACGTCCTTGTTTTTTTTTTAAGGAATGTAGCAATCTCACGGCTACCATATTTTTAGAATTTATGGGCAGACTGTAAGTTTGTTTACGAGCAGGCTGTAACTTGCCTGATCACTTCTGTATTGAAAGTTGTACCTCTTCTTTCCTCTGTGGTTTCCGGACCTTTCCCCAGGCTAAGATTTAAATTTAGTGTGTCTTTTACTGAAAATATAGCTTTGATACAGTTGTGCAAATATAGTTTGACATTAAAAATGCAACTATTCTTTTTATTTTAAAGGCTTTTAAAAAATAAATTTAATGTTTTGGAAGTTACAAGTATTTTTCATGTAAAAAAATGCACATTAAAGCAAACTCCATTCAGAGCAACAAAATTGCATTTGTTTTTTGGAATATATGATATAGTAAATAACCTGATCATTATTAACACAGCCTCAATGTTATATTGTATACATTCTTCTGGGCTGGAGTTAAAGCGATTGTAAACCATCTTATTGTTTTTGTAATAAAATAGAGGTTTATATTTGCCTGCTCTGTGCAATGCCGTTAGCTCCTCTTCTGGAGACCCCCACTGGTGCTTTCCACTCCTCCTCTCCCGTGTTTGCCCTCATAGCAAACTATGTGCTATGGGGGCACACGTGCAGTCAAGTTTCCAAGCCGGACTGTGTGCATCCAGAGACTCATGGAGCATGGCTTGGCCCAGCTCCCCACTCCCACCTCACAGGATTTGATTGACAGAAGTTCAGGGCTCTGGCTGCTACCAGAAAAGCCTGTGATAACAAGGAGAGGGGAGAGAACTATAGCTGGGCACAGGGCAGGACTGAGGCATGGGGGGGGGGGGGGGGCAACAGGCAGAGGAAGTTTTTTTACCTTGATGTATTGAATGCATTAGGGTAATAAAAAACCTTTAGCGTTTAGAACCACTTTATATTTTGCCATGGTGGAGTTTTTGTGAATGTGTGGGGGTGTATGATGTATTCCTTCTTGCAAACCCTTTGTTAAAGATATAAGTACTTATAAAGCTGTTTGCTACAGAAAGAAAAAACATTTAACATTTAACTATACTAATAACTATGGTGTTATTTTATTAGGTTGTGCGAAGGTATATTCTTGGTTCAATAGTGGAAAGCGAGAAGAACTATGTCGACTCCTTGAAGAGAATTCTTGAGGTACTATACAGATTTATAATATATTTATAACAGGGCCGGATCTAGCATGTCTGATGTGGGGTTACAGTAAAAAATGTCATGGGGCAGAGGATGCAAGGTCAGCGAGGCAGTGTATGGGGGTCTGCTGGACAGAGGACAGGGAGTCAGTAGGGAAGTGTACAGGGGTCAGCAGGATGGAGGACAGGGTGCTAGCAGAAAGGAGGATAGGGGGTCAGTAGGGCTATTTACAGGTCAGCAGGATGGGGGTCAGCAGGATGGAGGTCAGGGGGTCAGCAGGACGGAAGTCAGGGGGTCAGCAGGACGGAGGTCGGGGTCAACAGGGCAGTTTACAGGGGTTCAGCAGGACAGAGGGCCAGGGGGTCAGCAGGACAGGGTACAGAGGGTCAAATCCCCCCATTCCCCCTCTTAACCAATATATCACCAGCCTCTCCTAGCACAAATTATCCCCCCTCTATTCCTACATGTAGCTGCACAAATTCCCCCCCTTAAAATTGCCCTACCCAGTACAAATAGCTCCCCATCCCTCCTCCTCCACAAACCTTTTAATTGAACCCAAGCACAAATGATTGTTCCTAATAAAATTTATCACCTGTATGTTCCAACCCCCCTCCCAAAAAAATTACAATAAGGGAAAATGCTATAGAGCCGGAGGAGGTGTGCTGGGCTGGGATGTACTTGCCTCCTCCTGTTAGAACATTGATTCTCCATGTAGCAGATGACACAGGGATCGCTCTTAATCAGGCTGTACACACAGGTTTGATTAGCTGCCCCCTATGTCCTCCAAGGGCTGCCCATCTCTCAGCAGCGGGAGATGTGGATAGGGGGCACGTAATCAAACTTGTGTGTACAGCCCGATGAAGAGCAATCCTGTGTCACCTGCTGCATGGATGATCGCTGTGCTGACAGGAGGAGGAGAGCACAGACCGCACCTCCTCTCCACTCTGTTGCAGTGAGTTCTCTCTGACTTTTCGATTTATTTCCTGCTCCAGGTTGCCCCTCCCCCGTCTTGTCCCAGACCTGAGTGCGGAAATGGGAAGAGGACCTCAGCAGCCAGGCAGAATTTCAGTGGGGTGGCCAGCCTGGCGGGGCACAAGTGAAATCTGTATGAGCGAAGCCCACCCCAGCACCCCGCTGGATCCAGCCATGATTTATAATTTTGTTTCTGTAGAAGTTCCACAACCTGACGCAGGTTGTTGTATACTTAACTGAATACACTAAAACTCCTGCAAGAATATACTTTCTCCAGCTTTAGCTAGAGGTTTAAAATCATTTAAAAATCATATCTGCAACAATTCACTGTAGTACTATTCTAAATACACTCACTTAGGATTTCAGTAATATTGTGTAAAACATTTGGCACCGTGTCTATACAAAGCTCACTCACCATTTATCTTTCAGCTGTGGCTAATATCCTGATTCCAGGTTTCTACAAGCTACATTTAGAACTACATAAAATAAGATCATAGCTAGGAGTACATAAAATAAGATCATAGCTAGGAGTACATAAAATAAGATCATAGCTAGGTTTTACCTACACATAGGGTTCTGTTTAGAAAAGTGCTGTGCTGGTATTTTCCTGATTGGTGTATTTCAGGAAAATACTGCACTATGGCCACTAGATGGAATATTAGGCAAAAAATACAGGGAAAGTGCTCCTTTCATAAAAGACACCCCAGGAACTCAAACTCCGATATCTCACCAATAGATGTGCTTTATCTCTGCAGTATCTACTAAACACTAAAAATATCAGCATTGATTTGACACTTTAACTGACTTCGATGGAAAGGCTGGTGTTTCAGTGACCAGTGACTGCAGTTTTTTTTTTTTTTTTTTTTTTTTTTTTTATTGATGTTAATTCTTGTTGTGTTACTTATGCTTGCAACTTTGAATGCAGACTGCAAACACCTTTGCAGCTATCATGTTCCATGATTTTATTTCAGTATATAAAATAAAAGAAAATGTCTCCCCACTAAATACTATTTACATAGACTTGTTTATACCAACTGCAGCTTTCCAAAGGTCAGTGCTACAATTTGACACCTTTTGTGTTACATAACACGTAAGATCCATTCCACTTTCATAAAACAAATCAGATCCGTGATTTAAAACCACACTATTGTAAACTAGTCAGTGATAATTTCCCAAGATAGCATTTTCCAAAATTATGTTTTAACCATGTGGGTTCACTGAGAGCAACCAAATCAACCTGAATTCCTAAAAACTAATAAGTAAATCCTATGTTGTTGTGTTGAAGCTCTGCTGAAGCAAGAATTTGCAAATAATTGAAGTGGGAAAAATGTGCCCACGGGATATATTTCCAATACAGAAAACAGTTTGCACCAAGTGAGGTTGATACACTGCACTTTCCTCTCCTTCATAATACACATCTGATGCAGATGTCCTTTACCTACCCTTAAGCAGGTTTTTGTGCTGTTAACAGATGTGTAGTTAATGTATTCTTTGTTAAGGCATTTTCAGTACAGATGTCACCTCTATTTACTGTATCCCTATAGAATCTCAGTTGACAATGCTTTTATTGCTTGTAATCATTTTTACAATCAGCAAAACATCAGGGTGCCTGTACTTTACAGAGCACAGTTACACATAGGATTATAGAAGACAAGAAACTTAAGTTATTGTTATCCTTTGTGCAAGCAAATGAAAAGAGAGTAGTTTCATATGGTGTAGCAGAAATATAATTATAGCTTCAAACTTTCGCTTTTACATTCTAACATTTGTGAAATAAAACAAATATACATCTGAACTCTTTCCTCCTGTTGCAGCAATATGAGAAGCCTCTCTGTGACATGGAGCCAAAGCTATTAAGTGAGAGAAAGCTGAAAATAGTATTTTACCGGATAAAGGAAATTCTACAGTGCCACTCGCTTTTCCAAATTGCTCTCGCCAGCCGGGTGTCTGAGTGGGATTCAACAGAAATGATTGGAGATGTCTTTGTAGCATCAGTAAGAGAAATTGCAAAATCAATATAAATGTTTTCTTTTAGTGTTTTTCAATGTATAAAGGCATGGGTCGTTAATACATAAATAATCCTGTTTGTTGGAGATATACTGTATTTGTGTTTGTTGTATTGTATATGGCCAATCGTTTGTGGGCACCTAATCATCACATCTGTCTGTATGGCCAAAAGTATGTGAACCCCCCTGAAAATTGAGTTCATGTGTTTCCAGTGAAGGGTACTGCCAATGCTACGGTGTATCAAGACATTCTAGATATTTGTGCACTTCTGTGGAAGGTCTTGTTTTGTTCCAGTATGACTGTGCCCCTGTGCATAAAGCCAGGTCCAGAAAGGCATGGTTTGACATGTTTTGTGTGGAGGAACTCAATTGGCCTGCACAGCACTAACCTCTACTGCTTGACCTTGGAATTAATTGCAATGCTGGTTTTGAGCCAGATTTCAGTATTGACCTCAAAAATTCTCATTCGGCTGAATTGCCAGAATTTCCCACAAGCTCCAAAATCTTGTAAACCGTTTCTTTCAAGAGTTGAGGCTGTTACAAAGTGATTTGTAGTTACAAAGGAATGATAGGCTCCATAATAATGCCCATGCAAGGGAAGTCCAGCAAGCTTATATTGGCATAGTAGTCTGATGTCTACAAACGTTTGGTCACATAGTATGTATGTATTTGCTGCATGAGGAACTAGAGATAGGTCTAAACTCAGTATAGCACTACAGATAAACACATTCAGTCATATTAACAGAAACACCCTTCAACATACATGAGTACTGAGTTTGTTTGACATACCTAACTCACAATTACTGACAAAACTGAAAGGTGAGTCATAATACTTTTCAGTTGCCAGATAGCGTTTTACTCTGTATTGACTATAGTAAATGAGAACTCACAGAATTCCAAAAAGTTATTTTCAAACTACATAACATTTGTCAGGATCATTAAATATGTCAATGGGAACAGCCTGAAAAATTATAATATAGGGAAAATGCTTTGGCAAAATAGTGGGATACAGTCAAAGCATACAGATAGGAAAAGCCGGACAGGTAGGGTAGGTGAATTCCACCACCACCAAGATTTCACAAAAGTAAACTTCCATTTGGTAACCTCCTCGAACCATCACTAACTCACAAAGATACATAACCTGGTGTTCGAACACCAAACATTCCTTTAGCATTGAAAAAATATGATCAAATGATTCATTGTTTACCATATTTTGTGCATTTAAACGGGTTTATGTTTGAAGAAAGCCAAAAGATGTCTTCAATCCCCAACTCCTGTTGCTAGCCCTAACACTTTGTGGGTGATTCTGAATGGTAGCAGAGGCATGCTCTAAGGTGCAAACATTATTCTCTCACAATATTCCAATATGTATTGTTAGAATTAAATACTCCCACTGGTAAATAAATTAAAAAGTGGTTTCATACACACCAGCATGAAGTCAAATGCGCTTTCCATGACCTTCACAGTTAGACGTTTATGTTGCATTTTGGAGCATGCAAATAGATTTACGTTTCATCACTCAAAGAACCTGAATGGGGAAAGAACAAAAAGAGGGTGCAAAGAAAACAGGCCTAGTCGGTGTGTATTCCCTGAGAATAGTTCAAAGTCCGACTAAATGCAGTTAAGATGTATCCCAACCTTCCAAAAATGATTGAAAGGTTACCCTTGACCCTTGATGTTGCCATTTGCGTGTTTGTTTTGTCCTTTTTTTGTCTGTATATTTTTTAGAATATACATTAAATCAACCTACCTACATATCTATCTAAAAGCTATGTATGTTATATCTGTGGTTCTATTTTGCCCTATCTGATGTACATAACATTCACAACCATATCTGATGCCATTTTAAGTATGCTTACCAAATGTTGATTTTCTGTAAATCTATGAATGTCTCAGTTACTTTAACCACTTGCCCTCCAGAGGATTTACCCCCCCCCCCCCCCTTCCTGACCAGGCCATTTTTGCATTACTGTGCTGCGTTATTTTAACTGACAAATGCGCGGTCATGCAACGCTGCACCCAAATGAAATTTATGTCCTTTTTTCCCCCCCATGAATAGAGCTTTCTTTCAGTGGTATTTGATCACCTGTGTGTTTTTAATTTTTTTGTGCTATAAAAAAAAAAAAAAAAGACTTGACAATTTTGAGAAAAAACAATATTTTTTACTTTTTGCTATTAAGCATGTCCGGTAAACAAATTTTAAAAATCAAATTTTGTCATAAATTTAGGCCAAAATGTATTCTGCTACATGTCTTTGCTAAAGAAAAATCCCAATACATGTAAATTAATTGGTTTACGTGAAAGGTATATCATTTACAAATGCCAGTGTATATATATACTAGGATTAAAAAAAAAAAATTTTTTATTAGTAATGGCGGCAATCAGCGACTTATTGCAGGACTGTGGTGGGCATTCTGACACTGGGGGAAACTGACTTGGGGGAACTATGGGGCGATCAAAGGGTTAACAGTGTGCTGTTTTACACAGTGCGGTGTCTGTATGCTTCACTGTAAGTACACTGCTTGCATGGCCATTCAAAGCAGTGTGCAGGAGCTGACAAGGGAGAGAACTGTTTTGTTTACAAAACCGTTATCCCCCTCCATCAGTGATGCTTGGCAATCCCCGGGCACCGGTGAGTAATCACTGGCTGGTACCGGGTGATTGACAGCTGTGGCTGTGAAAGGCTGCAAAATCACGTGTGTATATATATATATATATATATATATATATATATATATATATATATGTGTGTGTGTGATTTTTGCGCTCCCGTGCCGCCCTGTAGCAGTAGGGTGGACAGGAAGCCGTTAATCTTTTTCCTTTGCTGTTTTTCCACTATATGTTTATATGTGTTGGATTGCTTACAGATATCAACTATAACAATATAGGCAGTAAGAGCAAAGTTCTTGCAGATCATCTGACTCTAGGCCCTGGGAAACTGAAGTGTTTTTCTCGCTAACAAAACCATATTGTGGTGATGTAAGCTTCAGTTATACTGTAGTAAAGCTGACCACACTCCTTATGCTGTGATTATAATCTTCTATCGATTTACCAACAAACCAGTAGTACCAGGGTTTGCCCAATTGGGTATTCATAGAATTAAATGTTTAGGTTGGGCAGTTTAGCTGCTATAATTCAAAACATGTTGCCCGCTGCTAAATGAGCTACCTCACTTAATACTATGTTGGCAGTTGTAATTTTGTGAGCAAAGAATCGCTCCAAAATTCTCTTGTTTAAATTCTTGCCAATTTCATCAGGAGCAAATACATTATTTAACACTCTGTAGAAAATTTCAAAGGTTCCAAATCTTAACTGCTAACCATTAGATTAGAAATGTGCAGTTGCACTCTCCAACATTTTAAATGAGCATTTACTGTCCCCATGTGTGTACTGTAGTGGAACAGATGCAAATGTCATAATGGCAGTTGATTCTTGGATTTGTAATTTAGCAACACATTCAGAACCACATATGGGTAAGCCTAAAATATAAGTAAAAATCTGCTCTTACTTGATTTATATATACCTGTTGATATCAGTTATGTATACTAGATAAAAACAGATTGTTTTTGGATATAGTGGGGATGTTCTAATAAAGGCAACTTAGGCTGTTCACTTTGTACTTTTGCAAGGGAAATCTCCCTTAGTTTAGTGAATAAGGTGAAGCTCTGCTGATTTCCATCATCCAATCATGTGCAAGTAAATATATATTTTTTTTCCTTGCACATTACTGGGTGTTCCTTGCATTATTAATTTTCACCACATTTACGAAGCTAAGGGAAAATTTCACTTTAAAGTGAACCGCATATTTGCTATAGTAAATCTGCCGCATTGTATTTAATAATGTAGAGCATATTGCACATAGAGAACACTTACCGTAATTAAAAAAGCTCTGGATGTGAAGTTTATTTACCAGTATGTAGTTCTAAGTTGTCAGCATTCTGCATACACCAGTCTATTCTGTCGAAGACTAAAAGGGAAGTTTCAGTCTCATACAGTGCATGCACATACTGTTCAGGTACAGGCACAGGTGCCACAGTGTACCTGATCAATTATTATGTGTGTGTGTGTGTGTGTGTGTGTGTGTGTGTGTATATACAGGGGCGGACTGACCATTTGGAAACTCGGACACTGCCCGAGGGCCCGTGGTCAGTAGGGGGCCCCATGAGATGCCCCTGGTACTTTTTTTCATAGGCTTTTTTGCGTTTGGGCAAGGGCACAGGGGCCCCATGATCCCCTATTGCCCAGGGGCCCCATGAGTTGTCAGTCTGCCCGTGTGTGTGTGTGTGTGTGTGTGTATATATATATATATATATATAATTTTTTTTTTTTTTAACCGCCATTTATTTCCTCCATCTGCTCATCCCCCCCCCCCCCCCACAAATAGCTATTACCTTTTGTATCACTTAACCCTTCCTCCTAGATTGTAAGTGCTAACAAGCAGGGCCCTCTGTTTCCTCTTGTACCAAATTGTATTGCAACTGTAATGTCTACATTCATTTTGTAAAGCGCAGCGCAAACTGTTGGAGCTATATAAATCCTGTATAATAATATAATATATTGCCAGTCTTATCAATTTATATTAATCCTTGGCTGTATTCACTGAAAGTTTCTTCTTTTAGCAGAATGCATTGACTAATTAGCATGTGTATACTATTCGCCATCCTGATAATATGAAATACATTACTGTCCTCATTTCAAATAACATCCAGGTCAAGATAATTATTACAGTTTTTTGTGTCTTTGCTTTCTAGTTTTCAAAATCCATGGTACTTGATGCATATAGTGAATATGTGAATAATTTTAGCACAGCTGTTGGAGTTCTCAGGAAATCTTGCGCTACTAAACCAACCTTTCTGGAATTTTTAAAGGTACTTTTTAACGATAAATCATACAACATAATGCATATCATTAAAGGATAAGTTCACTTTTTGGAGGTAAAAAAAATGTGCATGTATAACTTTTGTCCAAAGGAGCCTGTAAAGCATTGCACCAGCAATCAGTAGATTGCTGATGCCATGCAGGACTCCTGCAGATCAGTCAAAATATCTGCTTGCCGCACAGGATGTACAGTCAAGCAGATATTCTGACAGAAACCACCACTGTGGTAGTTCACTGAAAACTACAAGCTGACAGCTGCTAAGGCTGCTGGGACTTGTATGCACTCATTCACAGAACTCTGTGAATGAGTGAAGCGGCCGTGTGGGCGGAGCCCCGCACGGCCACGCTGTTTTCAAATCTTCGAGATAGTACGGGAGAAGTCTCCCCGAACTACTTGCCAGAGGGAGGGGGCGGCGGGCGCGGCTGCGGCTATGGGAACATGTTACATGTTCCACCCTAAAAACGGGTGAAACATGTAACATGTTCCAACGGTGAACTTATCCTTTAAAGGAAGTTTGGGGCATAAGAACAAATTGCATTTATATTGTTACCAATTGTTATATTGTTATCAAACAAGCAGTCATTAATTGCATTGGAGAAAGCAAGAAAATGGAAAGCCCGCAGGTAATCTGAACCACATGATTTCATTAACAGCCTATTCACACCACTGTGTTGTGAGGTTATGACACTACTCAGTAAACACATCACTTTGCATTGGTGTACTGCTCTGCTATTTATTGCAAATGGCATCCCAGTGAACCTGCATTGCCATGCACCACATGATGAAACATCTTGTGTTGCACTGCGCTAGCAAGAAAGCTACAGAAATTATTTTTAGTACATTTTGTTTGTAAAAGACATATTAACATGTGACCTAATGCACATAAATGTGCGTACATTAAATGCACCATAACATACCACCCTGGTGTGAATGAGCCCAAATGCGTTTAAACAAATGCATTTGCCATGCCAGGAACTAGCAAAGAAAAACAAGCGAAACCCCTACTACTAATTTACTCTCCTCAAAATGACAAAGAAAATTTGGTTGTTGTCCCCCTCTCCCACTGGAGCTGTTAAGGTGTAAGTGGACAAAAAAGATAACATACTTATTTGTAAACAATCCTAGGTCCCTAGCTTTAGAACTGTTGTTATAAAGGATACCATTCCACTTTAGGGTGACATTACACTTGATTGGCATGTGGTCATTGATTTACAGGATTCCTAAAATATATATTTCTTTATCATCCATTGAAAGATACAGCAATTGCAAAAGTTCTTACTGCCAAGCTATTCTGATGTCTACAAGAAGTTGAAGCAAACAAAAACAGTTAATCAAGCTCCCATATACCCCTCCTCCAACTGTCATGCCTTAGTTCTGTAGCCTTTGAGGCACCTTTCCTCCCACTGATACAAGACACTATTCCTACCTCCTACAGACATCAACCGTGGGGCATACAGTATCTCACAGAAGTGAATACACCCCTCACATTTTTGTAAATATTTTATTCTATCTTTTCATGTGACAACACTGAAGAAATGACACTTTGCTACAATGTAAAGTAGTGAGTGTACAGCTTGTATAACAGTGTACACTGCCTTCAACCCACATTAATGTCTGGTCATGGACTTCACCAGAGCTTGGCCACAAGTAACCCACCATGGACTAAAGTTACCACTTGAGTCTTCTTCTACTCCTCCATGATGACATCATGGAGCTGGTGGATGTTAGAGACCTTGCGCTGCTACACCTTCCATTTGAGGATGCCCCACAGATACTCAATAGGGTTTAGGTCTGGAGACATGCTTGGCCAGTCCACCATTAAGCTCAGCTTCTTTAGCAAGGCAGTGGTCATCTTGGAGGTGTGTTTGGGGTCATTGTCATGTTGGAATACTGCCCTGCAGCCCAGCCTCCGAAGGGAGGGGATAATGCACTGCTTCAGTATGTCACAGTACATGTTGGCATTCATGGTTCCCTCAATGAACTGTAGCTCCCCAGTGCCGGCAGCACTCATGCAGCCCCAGACCATGACACTCCCACCACCATGCTTGACTGTAGGCAAGACACACTTGTCTTTGTACTCCTCACCTGGTTGCCACTACACATGATTGACACCATCTGAACCAAATAAGTTTATCTTGGTCTCATCAGACCACATGACATGGTTCCAGTAATCCATGTTCCGTGGTCTGCTTGTCTTCAGCAAACTGTTTGCAGGCTTTCTTGTGCATCATCTTTAGAAGAGGCTTCCTTCTGTGACGACAGCAATGCTGACCAGTTTGATGCAGTGTGCAGCGTATGGTCTGAGCACTGACAGGCTGACCCCCCACCCTTTCAATCTCTGCAGCAATGCTGGCAGCACTCATATGTCTATTTCCCAAAGACAACCTCTGGATATGACGCTGAGCACGTGCACTGAACTTCTTTGGTCGACCATGGTGAGGCCTGTTCTGAATGGAACCTGTCCTGTTAAACCGCTGTATGGTCTTGGCCACTGTGCTGCAGCTCAGTTTCAGAGTCTTGGCAATCTTTTTAGCCTAGGCCATCTTTTTGTAGAGCAACAATTCTTTTATTCAGATCCCCAGAGAGTTCGTTGCCATGAGGTGCCATGTTGAACTTCCAGTGACCAGTATGAGAGAGTAAGCGCGATAACACCAACTTTAACACACCTGCTCCCCATTCACACCTGAGACCTTGTAACACTAACGAGTCACATTACATCGGGGATGGAAAATGGTTAATTAGGCCCAATTTGAACATTTTCACTTAGGGGTGTACTCACTCTTGTTGTTGCCAGCAGTTTAGACATTAATGGCTGCGTGTTGAGTTATTTTGAGGGGACAGCAAATTTACACGGTTATACAAGCTGTGCACTCACTAATTTACATTGTAGCAAAGTGTCATTTCTTCAGTGTTGTCACATGAAAGGATAAAATAAAATATTTACAAAAATGTGAGGGGTGTACTCACTTCTGGAAGATACTTCTGGGAGATGCTGTAATTCATGCTACTGACAACAATGGCACACTATTTCTCCCACTGACAGCAATGATGGGGCACATTTCCTCCCACTGACACCAATGATGGGGTGCTATTCCTCCCCCTAGTTTTTACATATACAGGGGGAGAAATTGTTTTTGTTTATTCCTACTGATGCCAGGACAATTTCTACGCCCAATAGCCACAGTCCGGACCCCAGAAGTCTGTTCTGCAAAGAAAAATTCTGACTATAGTTTTCCTAGCCTTTTGGTCCTTTTTTTTTTCATTCAGGCATTGAATCCTTCAGATACTCTTTTAGCATGATCTTCACATCTGTTGTATCCCTTGGTGGCTATTGCCTATCCTTCAGCTGGACTGCTTTTGATATCCTGACTGTTTAAGAATATTTTTACTGGTGTCCCTCAACAGATGATAAAAATAATATTTTGTACCTACTCTAAAATCCTTTTTCTGGTCCAAGTCCAGGGACTGACCCTATTGTTATTGACTCTTTGTACTTCTTGCTAAGTAAACTCAGCCATGACAGTTGGAAGTAGGGTTGTATGGGTGCTGGTTTTATGTTTGCCAGTATACAATCCCAAACTGTTGGGTGAAATTGCTGTAGGCAGCAATTTCACCCAACGGTTTAAGAATTTCTTCAATTCCTGTGTCCACACAAATCTTACAACCCTCTTCTTTTCTAGATTCCATAAATTGTTCTTATAATACATATGTGTAAGATTACTTTATTTAATGGTTCTGTTTCATATTAAAGTATTTTAGTTCATTTAACTACCAGGTTCTTGTACTACTTACCATGGACAAGTTATCCATGAACAAATAGAGCTGAGGTTTTAGATTGTATTTTATGGAGCTCTGTGCATTAGATCTATTTTCAAAAATCTAATCTCATGCTAGTATTTTAGAATATCGCTATTTTCAATTCACAAAATATAAGTTTGAAGTTTCTTACAATATTCAACACATTTGTTTCTGCATGGCTGTATTGGCTGCAGTAGAAGAAGGTATGTAAGAAAAAACTCCACCATGACTTGTGGACATACATACATATTTTATTGTCTCATGTGCCGTTTTCTTCACTGTTACAGCATGTCACGGAGATAAGTTGTCTCTATGTTTGTAGGCAAGTCAGGTGATGTACAGCCTGTGTTTTGAGTTTAAAATGCATGGTTTAAAGTCTGATGTCGTCTTGAGTTGTGGTGTGCATTTTTTGAGATGTAGCACACATGCAATGCTCTGTCTTCCATCATTATAATAATTTAGGCAATGTAAGTATGATTTATACTTACCAGATCATTAAACATTTTTAATATTAAATCCAGTACACACTAGTCTCCCAACAGTCTGTAGAGGCAGGTGTGTTCTGGGTCAGATGCTGGTGTTTCTGATTTCCTGCCAGAAAACAATCAGACCTACTTCTTCAAACCTAAGCCAATGTTATTTAAAACTATTGCTAACCAAACATTCAGATTGTTCAGCCAGCAGTATTTCAACTGTGGCCTTATGTACTACTGTATGTGGCCATTATATTACCATGTAAACTGTCAAGATCATCCAGTTAATTTTCAATAATATTCATTGATATTAATGGTCATTTTTGCACATGTTTAATAATCACCCAGTAGTTGGAAAAAAATGATTTCCTAATCTTCCCTTACACCAGCATTGCTTGTTAGTGCCTACAGGTAATTTAAGGACTTTAGGCTTTTGGCAGGCTTACATGGGAGAATGGAGCTATATTTCAACAAGAAATTGGACTCCACAGATTTCTTACCGTACGAATTGGTATAATTGTACATTTGAACAGATTGTGCTTTTCATGTCTGAACATTAAACATGATCTAAAAGTAGAGCAGTTCCCTGGCTTCTAAATTCTCATGACAAAATGTACATCTTCAAATTAGCCTTTACAGCAAGGTTACATCTGTTCTCTTGGAATGTTATGGTAACTGTTAATTGCCTGGTATACTAAAATATTGCTTTTTGTCTTTGTAATAGAAATTCATACATTTTATAGAAATCAGTTTCATTGTATGTCAAGGATAAATGCAATTAGTAGTTGGTACAGCATTTTGTAGTATTGATAAATGGCACTGTGTGGATAAGGCTTGCTTGTTTCTTTTTTTTTTTATGGAATAATGTGACGGTTGAGCTCTCATCAAGTTGTTAGGTATGGCTCAATATTACATCATTGTGTTTTAAGTATAAACCAGCGAGGAAACCTTTAGGTTCATCACTATGCCTGAGCTTCCCAGACCAGTTTTAGCTGAGCTTCAACAATTCTAGTCCTATTGCCCAATCCACTGAGATTAATGCAACTCTGTAATCCTTTCTTCTGTACACGTGTAAAGCTCACTAGAATGCTCCACATGCCTGGCAATGGCAGCAATGTTATTGGGCCATCAGGCTGCATAAGGCCTTGTAGTGTGATGGGTCTGGAGGAAGAGTTTTAGCATATGCAGTCCAGCTATGTATTTCATTTTTCTGTTTGATAATGCAACCTAAACTGTTCTTTATCTAAACACATTTTATCACGGACATTTAGAATAAAATGCCTTCTAAAATGTCAGTTTTAGCAGCTAAGTGCAGAATACATGCATGATATAATTGGACTGGGAGTGAACGGCTTACATATTATCACATTAAAGGTGGATAGGTGAAGAGGCTGTAGCAAAGCTCAGGTCAGCCTGCAAAACTCTGCATTTTGAAACAATAATCTTCCAAATAGCATTTTTGTCAAGTGCCTAGCTTGGGTCTGCCTGTGGGAGACCATGCATGCTACTTGGTTTTGTGTTTACTACATTAATCAAATTTTCACTTAAGTTTTCCATTCTGTTGTTCTTACTGATCAGCTTGTGACTTTGTGTTGTCACAGAACCAGGATTCCAGCCCTGACCGCATTACTCTCTACGGTTTGATGATGAAGCCAATCCAGCGCTTTCCCCAGTTTATCCTTTTGTTACAGGTAAATTATCCTGTTCTTTTAGACATGTTAGATTACATACATTCTCATATGTCAATAAAACTATATGAGAAGTAATTTAATTTACATGATCTGCAGGGAATGTACAGTATTCACTGCCATTTTTTAATTTACCTATAGGTGTATCCAGTCATTAAATCTGTATAAAATCCCATGCCTATCAGGATACAGCCTTTAATGCTGTACCTGAATCATAATGTAGCCTGACACATTGTAGTAGATTTGTATTGCTGCTCAATATGTGACTTTTGTAACTTTGTATGAAAGGTGACAGGTGGTGTTTATTACTGACTGTCTTTTAGATAAGTTAGTTTCATGGTTGTAGTACATTCTGTGAAACTCCTCACTCACCGATTCTGAGCCATTATAGTCAATAATACACTTCAAATCTATAATTTTTTTAGATCCTAGTGCCATTGCTACACATTTATGCGTAGTTTAATGTACATTTGACAAGTGTAAAGGGACCTTATAGTGTATGAGTTTATTTATTATAATTTCTTTGTGAATAATAGTTACATTTACAAAATACAAAAAATATTCGAGTGGATGTGTGTGTTTAACGGTTACTAGATGTATTAAATGTACCAAAACTACTCTTTCATGACATTTAAAGTATAGGTATGAATACAGTTTCACCACGGTGTGCAAATATTGTTTTAGGTTTTGCTATTTATTTTATATATTGCTTCTCTGTGGTCTTGGCTTCTGCAGGATATGTTGAAAAATACGGTAAAGGGTCACCCTGACCGGCTTCCTCTACAGATGGCTCTTACAGAGCTAGAAACATTAGCAGACAAACTCAATGAAAGGAAGCGGGATGCAGATCAGCGCTGTGAAATTAAACATATTGCCAAAGCAATAAATGAAAGGTATCTGAATAAGGTTGGTATGCTTTTTACTTAAATAACTTGCCAGACTCTTGTCAGCCTTGCACTGATTTTCTGTTCAACTCAGTCATATTTATGTACTAAGAATTATTTTTTTTAATTCTTTATTTTGGGCAACGTACAAATAGATGCATACATGGCCAATATTCAGTCCTCATACAGTCGTATCAAACCGCATCATAAGCAGTACAAATAAAGACCAAACAAGTATACCATATATCTGAGTGACAATTTTTAAGTATCTCTAGATGATCTCTGTAGCACCTGACTCAACTAGTCTTTTATGTGCTCAAGAATAGAGTGGAGAGAAATAGTGTGGGGTGAGTCACATGTAAAAAGACAAATATGGCCATCTTTTATGTACGGCAAGGAAAAAAGATCACTTTGTCCGGTATTTTTTTTTACAGTGACTGTCTTGGGGGCAAATGGATCTACAAAGGAGACCTCTAAAGGGGAAGGGAAGAGGAAAGGATATGGCAGCTGGTTGAGGGGCCAGATGTGAAGTATAGAGAAAAACTTGAAAATATTTTAATGTGATCCTGCAATAGTCTTGTTAATTCAGATTGGGAGAAATAAAGAAATCCTAATCTGATTAGTTTTGTTTGTATTATGTAAAACAAAAATTATATATACTATATGACCATGACACCTACCCAGGAGGCCAAGATACACCTCTCCAAATTATTGAACTTGGATGTTTCAGTGAAGGGTATTGTTAATTCTACAGCTCACAAAGTCATTTTAGACAATTTTGCCTCCCAACATTGTGGCAACACTTTGGTAAAGGTCCTTTTCTGTTCTAGCATGGCTGTTTTCGTGTAGACAGAACTGGGTCTATAAAACATGGCTTGATGAAACTTGACTTGCCTGCATACAATGCTGACCCCAATCCTGATGAACCACTTTGGAATGAACTGGATTGTCAATTACTATCTAGCTCTCCTGCAACATCAGTACCTGACCTCACAATGCTATTTTGGTTGAATGGGCACACATTCCCAGAGACACAGGCAACATGACAAGCCTAACTGGAAAAGTGGAGGCTGTTATATCTGCAAAGGAGAGAAGGGTGGCAACTACATTTTAATGCACATGGTTTTGGAGTGTGATGTCCAGCAAGCTCATATAGGTGTGATTGTAAGGTGTCCACAAACATTTGACTGTATAGTATGCTATGCACAGTATGCCAACATCGCAAATGCTGGAAATTATGCAGCTTGTTTGTTTACCTACTTCTGTTTTACCATTTGATTAGATTATCAAACAGAACATGAAAATAGTCAGCTTTTAGTCTCTCTGTGTTTTCTTGAGCAGCAGAAGGTGGTTACTATTTCAGTGTATTACACATATGGGTAAGAAGTAAATTTTAACTGAGAATTCCCTTTTAATTGGTTTCTATAGGAACTGAAGCTTTTGTAATTTGTTTTTATTTATTACAAGCCCGCATTTTGCGCTCTGTAAGACGCACCTGACCGTAAGACGCACCTGACCATAAGACGCACCTAGATTTTAGAGGTGAAAAACAAAAAAAAAAATATTCTGAACCAATGGACTGCAGACACAGTACAGGAGATGACCAGAGACTGCGGACACAGTACAGGAGATGACCAGAGACTGCAGACACAGTACAGGAGATGACCAGAGACTGTGGACATAGTACAGGAGATGACCAGAGACTGCAGACACAGTACAGGAGATGACCAGAGACTGTGGACACAGTACAGGAGATGACCAGAGACTGCGGACACAGTACAGGAGATGACCAGAGACTACGGACACAGTACAGGAGATGACCAGAGACTGCAGACACAGTACCGGAGATGACCAGAGACTGCGGACACAGTACAGTAGATGACCAGAGACTGCGGACATAGTACAGGAGATGACCAGAGACTGCGGACACAGTACAGGAGATGACCAGAGACTGCAGACACAGTACCGGAGATGACCAGAGACTGCGGACACAGTACAGTAGATGACCAGAGACTGCGGACACAGTACAGTAGATGACCAGAGACTGCGGACACAGTACAGGAGATGACCAGAGACTGCGGACACAGTACAGGAGATGACCAGAGACCATGGACACAGTCCAGGAGATGACCAGAGACCGCGGACACAGTCCAGGAGATGACCAGAGACCGCGGACACAGTCCAGGAGATGACCAGAGACGCGGACACAGTCCAGGAGATGACCAGAGACCTGCGGACACAGTCCAGGAGATGACCAGAGACTGCGGACACAGTCCAGGAGATGACCAAAGACTGTGGACACAGTCCAGGAGATGACCAGAGACTGCGGACACACTTCGGGAGATGACCAGAGACTGCGGACACAGTACAGGAGATGACCAGAGACTGCGGACACAGTACAGGAGATGACCAGAGACTGCGGACACAGTACAGGAGATGACCAGAGACTGCGGACACAGTACAGGAGATGACCAGAGACTGCGGACACAGTACAGGAGATGACCAGAGACTGTGGACATAGTACAAATGACCAGAGACTGTGAACATAGTACAGGGAAAATGCCAGGTACTGTGGACATAGTACAGATGACCAGAGACTGCAGACAGTACAGGGAATGACCAAGAGACTGCGGACCTTTGGGGAGGGAGGGGGAGCGGGTACTTGAAGTTGTCCTTTCTTTAGTGTGGGCACGCTAGCTTCTTCCCGCGCCAGCTTCTGCCACAGCTGGGTGCCCACTGCGCATGCGCGAGAAGCGTTGCGCTTTGTGTATGGTCCGGCGCCTTCTGGGACCTGTCACGTGTCCCAGAAGTCGCCGGACCATTCACAAAGCGCAGCGCTTCTCGCACATGCGCAGTGGGCACCAGGCTATCACAGAAGCCGCCGCGGGAAGAAGCCGGCGCAGGAAGACTGTACAGCGCTCGACAGAGGAACAGGTAAGGTCCTGCAGGAGAGAAGAGCTGAGCAGCCGGCCTGGTATTCTGACATGGTGGCGGAAATACCAGACAGGTCACTCCATAAGACGCACTGACATTTTCCCCCCTTTTTTTGGGGGAAAAAAGTGTGTCTTATGGAGCAAAAAATACGGTACTTATATAGTGCCAACCATATATGCAAAGCTTTATATTGTACATTTACATCAGTCTCTCGCCTCAAAGAGCTTACTATCTAAGGTTCCCTAACTCACATTCATACATGTACATACTAGGGCCTATTTAGATGGAAAGCCAGTTAGCCTACCAACATGTTTTTTGGCAGAGAAAACTGTAGAAAACCTAGAGGAAACCCATGCAGGCACTGGGAGAACATGCATAAGTCTGCCTTATTTTCTTTACCCAAGATTGTAAAAGAATATTTTTTTATCCTGGAAAACAGAAAGCCATGCATGGCTGTAATCTGTACATATAATTCTGTATTTCCAGATGTTGTAAGCACTGTTCTTTTGCAGTGATCATGGCTATTAACAGTCCCTCATTCTGTAGTCAGTAGGCCTTTGAAAATGGCTAATGCATTTGCAAATTATATTGGAAATAGGGGAAAGCAGTTAATGGCATAGAAAGTTTACATGATACATCTATGTGCAGTTAAGTGTGTGGATGGATGGGAAACTGGTAAAGCAGTGGAATTGGGAATTACTTTACTTTCAGCTTTAAATTATATTTTTACCTTCTTATAAATGTTCTGTCCCAAAAATATTTTTTAAAAATGTGATTTTTCTTCCCTTAAATTGTAGCTCCTTAGCAATGGGAATCGATATCTCATTCGTTCAGATGATATGGTAGAAACCGTGTACAACGAGAGGGGTGAAATCCTGAAAACCAAGCAGAGGCGTCTCTTCATGCTCAATGATGTGCTGATGTGTGCCACTGCTAGTAACAGGTTAGTTTCTGCTTCAAAGTAGAGGAAAAGCAAAAACAGGAACCCCTACCTTCCTGATATATGTATTCCATAATTATAGTGTATTACTGCATCACTAACTCCATGTTTACATGTTTTGAAATATTCATACACAATAGAACTCTTGTGCTTTATGTCGATATAGCACTTAAGAACATCTGTTGTACTGTTTCTCCTAACTACTGTTAGCTGGAAGAATAAACTGGGAGTCAAAATGTAAGTGGCCAGCAGATGGCATAAGTGAAGCATCTGCCTGAACAGTGATCTGATCTGCTGACAGATGAATGTTCCCTAAATAATGGATACCTTCCTCTGTCATGAAGTAATGAGACAATCCGAAATAGAAAATATCTGCTTTACATTTTCTCTTTTGTGTACACATCAGGAACCAAACAATGAGTTTTTCCGCTTTTGGACTTACATGGTTATGAAAAGTCAGAGTAAGTGGTGCTAAATATGGAATAAATAACAGCTGGTGATGAGATCATAGGGAGAAGTGTTTTTCCTTTTTCCATAAGACACACATAGTATGCCTAATTTTATACTGAATAAAAATAAATTAGACAGTATTTGCTTAAAAAAATCTCCACCTATTATTTCAGTACTGTGATTCAAAGAACTGTGAATTCCTGTTGCCATAATTTCCTTTCATTGCTCCTGTCAGTGGGACTTATGACTTTTGGCAGGTTGGTACTGCATGAGCCTGGTGAGCCATTGAGGAATTGGCAGCATTGTGTCAGGGATCGCGGCGACAAGCGGGTCTGCGCATATGTTAAACGCCGATCCATACTAGCCGGTGGGCACTAGGACCTGGGCAGCGGCGGCTGCGCATGCGCCCTCGCGATCACGGACACTTGCCTGGCACCGATGACAGGGCAGGGCGCACTATTTAAACCTGCCCTGCACAGATTCTCATTGCCATATGGTCTGATTATCCTGTGTTCCTGTATACCTGCTGTTGTGATATGTTGCTGACTCTGCCTGATCCTGACCTCTGCTGACTTCTCCTGCTGCTCTGACCTCCTGGCTCGTTTGACCTCTCTCCTGGATATCCCTAATCTGGTCTGAACTTCTGTTACCGACCCCCCACGAGTGATTCTCTGACTACTCTTTTGCCTGCTGCCTTGTGCTACGCTGACCCCACTGTTACCGACCCGGCCCGTTTGACCACGCTCACTACTCTGCCATCCATCCATCCTGCACGGATCCAACCATCCCTACTCCAGGTTTCTGCCTCTACATGTCAGGCTCTCTACCTGCATATACCTTTGGCGGATCCCTCTACCACAGGCGGGTGTACTCAGGGGCCACGACCTGGTCCCTGTCTGCTCCAAGTCCATCCCCACCACCAGGGGCCCTGGTGAACAAGCAGACTGGGGTTTAGACTCCACGCTCTGGGGAATCCTGTCCTGTGGACTGCTAGAGGTACCACCAGGCGGTTGTTAACATAGTGTGTGTAGTGGACTATGGGGTTAAATTGTAGGTAAAGGCAAAACATTTAGTTTTAAATAAATGGGTAGGGGTTTTTAGTGATGTCTTCTCCCCTGCTTGGAAGTTCTCTAATTTTCTTGGCTATCACTGGCACCAAGACAGAAACTATGGGGATAACCTAACATTTAGAGTTGTCATGAGATCAAGAAGTAAGGGTAAATCATCCAGCTGGGACTAATGTTGCAGTGACAGGTGCTGGTAATTCTCCTTACTTTGAGGAGATTTCACCTCACTTTCTGTTGTATCTCCAATACAGGAACTGAAGAGAAATCTCATTAGCATGACACAGACAGCAAAGAAACAAAAAGATCCTTTAACCTTCTCTTCTCTATCTAAGGGTTCATTCACATTATCTCCATTGTTCTGTTTTCTTCATGTCCTGTTTACACCACAAAACTGGACTGAAGTTGATTGTGGTGCACTGCATAAAAGATGCAGACCTTGCATTTTTACACAGGGTAAGGCACTGCAACACACTGTGGTGTACAAATCAGAATGAAGTGACATTTTGTGATACTTCAATAAAATAAAAAACCCTAAACCGGGCCTTTCGCTGTAACAACTTTCTTGGTCCCACCTAACAGACAGTAGACCACACAAGCTTTAATCTGTGCAAGCTCGTGTTGACAAGCCCATGAAACAAACAAGAAAAACTTTGACTATACATGCAGTACACTTTAAACATTTCACTACCACTATACATCTTTAAACTGTGAAGTGGTGGTATTCAGTGCCGTTTTTATAAAGCACCATTGGATGGCCATTGATCCTATGCCTGTGAACATCAGCTCTGTGCACAGTGTTCAGGGGCATAGAGCCAATCCAAGTGGCTCTGTACCTTGATCTCTTTGATTGGTGAAAGATAGACCAATCGCAGCAATTACAAATGTAAAGAGTGTAGTGTTTTACATATGTGAGCCCATCACTTTTTCTTACAACAGAGGAAATAATAATTCAGTGCAGATCAGAGCAGCAGTAGCTGCAAGTAGTTTTTAGCATGGTCACCCCTTCTTTCTCTCCTGTAAATCTGATCTTAATTCTGCCTCCATCCTCCCACTGTATATGACCTGTACATTAACCCCTTCGCCACCTCCTTTCTCTGTGTATGACCTGTATGCCTTGTATCTAGCACCAGTTCAATACCACCATGTTTCTTCATTTTCAAAAAATGGCAGCAAAAAAAACTGATCACCATGGAGTGTCTTCTTTCCAAAAAGGGGACACTTTAGGGCGTGTGCACTGTTTTTTTTTTATTTTAACAAAAAGTTTAATAAAACTGTTTTCTGTTTAATTTTTGGTCTTTTTTCCTTTAAATAGTAAAAAAAAATGCAATGTTTTATTAAATACCAGGAAAAGAAAGCTCCACCTGTCTCAAAAAAATATATACAATTAATCTTGGTGCAGTGTTGCATGATGTCAGTTTTCATTAAGTATTACAGAACTGAAAACTTAAAAACAAAGGGGTATTACATGCTAGTAATTAAGTGGTTAAGTATACTGTTACATGAACTTTGCTGATTGCAGAACTATAGATGTGCCTAAGCAGGGGGCATGTATCTCTGAAGACAGACAAAACGCATGCTCCCTTCTGATTGGTAAACTTTAGCTATAACCAATTATGTGTATTTCTCTTCACAATTACACCATTATTTAAAATATCGTATTGCTTTTTTGACAATTTCATGAAATTTTCCATAATGATACTTTGATATTATTAAACCACTTTCAGCTCAAATCGGCTTGTAAATTATGTTTAGGGTGCTTTAAAGCATCCCTAAATGCTGGCTGTGTTTAATGAATTCTGAATCTGATCACAAAGAATTCCAATACACAGTAACAATTTCTTATTAAATCCATGTGCTTTCCTTTTAGATCTTCCAATGAAGGTAGTAACATGGTAACAGAAAGCCAGAAATACTTACTAAAATGGAGTGTGCCTCTTGGTCACGTAGAGGTTATTGAATATGGGGAAAGTGAGGAGCAAGGAAATCAGTCTCGATTTTCTTCCATACATGCATCTGGGTCATTTGTGCCAAACCAAGTAAGTGTACATAATACATTTAATGGACAAAGGGCACCCTGTGGAATGTCACTATGAGCGTTGTTCATCAGATTTGATCTAGTTGGTTGGTTATTCACTCATATATTACATGATTTAGTGTGTTATTGTTATCAATAGTATGTGTGTGTCTTTCGGTATGTATATGTGCAAGTATGATTGAGATATATTCATACACAGTGCTCAGCATAAATGAGTACACCCCAATAGATTTGTCAGAAGACCTTTACTTTCCTTTCAGAATCAACATTTTCTATGAGACACTGCAAAATACTCCCACAAATGCGGGCCATTGATTGCAAACAAGATTTGTTAATTTGCGCACACAAAAAAGTATTTTTCCTAACACATTCATTCAAAACCAAGTTGCAAAAATGAATACACCTCAATGAAAGTCATATCTAAATTTTAGACAACAAAATCCTAATTAACAAGAATTTAACTACAGGTGAATCTAATTATTCATTAAACAGGTTTCCAACAGATAGTTGATTATAAAAGGGTGTTTCTTAACAAAGAAAACCACTCCCCATTTAATGCTGTCAGCAATGGCACCAGATGGAAGTGAAATGTCACAAGGCCTGAGAAAGAAAATCATTTATTTACACAAGAAAGGTGAAGGCTATAAGAAGATCAACAAAGCTTTACTTATCAGTCAGAATACTGTAGCAAAAGTGATACAAAAATTTAACAAAGATGGAACTGCAACCATCTCACAGAGACGTCCAGGCTGTCCACAGAAGTTAATACCTCGACAGGAGGGTCTTCTGATGAGCAGGGTTGAAGAAAATCGCCATGCAAGTTCACTGCAGTTAGCTAAAGAAGTAGAAAACCAAACTGTGGTGGTTGTTTTCCATGACACAATACGGCATACACTGCAGAGGAATGGCATGCATTGGTGTCGTTCATGAAGGAAGCCTCTCCTATAGCCCATGCACAAAAAAGCCCACCTAGAATTTGCCAGGGCCCATGCTGAAAAAAGACTACTAGGACTCTGTACTCTGGAGTGATGAGACTAAGATAAATGTTTTTGATACGGATGGCTTCAAAACTGAATGGCGTCAAAAAGGTGAGGAGTATAAAGAAAAATGCAGGGTGCCTACAGTGAAACATGGTGGTAGTAGTGTCCTTGAGTGCTGCCAATGTCAGCGAGCTGCATTTCATTGATGGTATCATGAATTCACAGATGTACTGCTCTATATTGAAAGAGAAGATGCTACCATCACTCCGTGCCCTTAGTCGTCGTGCACTTTTCCAACATGACAATCAAAAACACACTTCCAAGGCCACTGTTGTTTCTGAAGAAGAACAAGGTAAAAGTGATTCAGTATCACCCCTATTTTAGTGAATACAAGCTGCGCATACACTTCATAATGCTATGATCAAACATCAATTATCACTCTTATATTATGTATTATTCTTTTTCTTCACCATTAATTCTGTAACAAAAAATCTATAAATAAAAATAAATAAACTTAATAAATATGACACGATGTGATATTACACAAATACCGTGACTTGAAAATATATATATAATTTCAAAAAAAAGTCCCGTGATAAAAAAGTAATGAAGAAGAAATTAAAGTCCAGTGCTGACATAATTTCATGTGACGCACCGCATCGTCACCCCTATGAGTAAGTTAGGATATGATGAAACGCGCCAGGGCGTGACGGTGCGGCAGACCGGAAGTGACGTACATCCGTAACCAGAAGTGACGGCGTTCTGTCCGACAGTTCCGGAGATGGTGAGAGCACCATGCAGTATCTGCTTGTCACAAAGACATATCATTTGGGCTTGTTGATGTCTTTAATTTTGTAAGTGCATTACTTGGAGCAAATAAAGCCATTTATCTTGGGTAATATACTATTGGAGCGGATATTTTCTTCTCTTTTCATGATATGGTGGAGTGGAGTTTTTGAATTATCCTGGCAACCAATCATTGAGTGGGCTATTCTTGGGGGGAACCTCCTGATCTAATTAATGGATATCCTCTTGATTATGCTTTAACAAAGGCAATATCTGGTGAGTGCACACCTGAGTGGGGGTGCATGGTGGGCACAGCACAAGGTTTCAACACTTTAAAGTTTTCTGCACCACATGAAATTATTTCAGCACTGGACTTTAATTTCTTCTTTATTACTTTTTATCCCGGGACTTTTTTGTAACTTATATTTTCAAGTCACAGGATTTGTGTAATATCACATCATGTGTCATATTTATTAGGTTATTTGTTTATTTTTATTTATGTATTTTTTGTTACAGAATTAATGGTGAAGACAAAGAATGATGCATAATATGAGTGATAATTGATGTTTGATGATAGCATTATGAAGTGTATGCGCCGCTTGTATTCACTAAAATAGGGTGATGATACTTATATTTTTGGATTTTTGAAATGGGGTATAGTGGCAGTAATATATATAATTTTATTTAGAGGCTTAAAATCTTTTTTGCATCAGGCGCAATATAGTGATATTTGGATAACTATTTCAAGGTGGTCACTTACAGAACATATAGAAAGTGATTCAGTGGCCAAGTATGTCTCCTGATCTGAACCCTATTGAAAACCTATGGGGAATTCTGTTGAGACAAGTTGAGCATCACTCTCCATCCAGCATCCAGGCACTAAGAGGTTGTTCTTGAAGAATGGAAAAAGATAGATGTTGCAATACAGTTAGGTCCATATATATTTGGACACAGGCACAATTTTAGGTTTTTTCAGGTATTTACCAAAACATATTCAAGCTATAGTAATATAATGGATATGGGCTGAAAGTGCACACTCTCAGGTTTAATTTGAGGGTATGTACATCCAAATTGAAGGAAGGATTTAAGAATTACAGCTCTTAAAAGTATCCATCCCCCTTTTTCAAGGGACAAAAGTAATTGGACAATTGAATCGAAAGCTGTTTCATGGCCAGGTGTGGGCTACTCCTTCGTTATTGCTTCATCAATTAAGAGGTAAAAGTTCTGGAGATTATTCTAAGTGTGGTATTTGCATTTGGAATCTATTGCTGTGAACCTACATCATGCGTTCTAAGGAGCTGTCCATGCAAGTGAAACAGGCCATTGTAAGGCTTCAAAAATTAAACAAATCCATCAGAGAGATAGCAGCAACCTTAGGAGTGGCCAAATCAACAGTTTGGTACATTCTGAGGAAAGAAGAACGCACTGGTGAGCTCAGCAACATCAAAAGGCATGGATGTCCTTGGAAGACAACAGTGGTGGATGATCGCAGGATTCCCTCTATGGTAAAGAAAAACCCATTCACAACATCCAGACAAGTGAAGGACACTGTCCAGGAGGTGGGCGTATCATTGTCAAAGTCTACAATCAAGAGAAGACTTCACGAGAGCAAATACAGAGGGTTCACCACAAGATGCAAACTATTCATAAGCCTGAAGAATAGAAAAGCCAGATTAGACTTTGCCAAAAAACATCTAAAAAAGCCAGACCAGTTTCTGGAAAAGCATTCTTTGGATGGATGAAACTAAGATTAATCTGTACCAGAATGATGGGAAGAAAAAAGTGTGGGGAAGGCTTGGAACAGATCATGATCCAAAGCACACAGCGTCATCTGTAAAACATGGTGGAGGCAGTGTAATGGCATGGGCATGCATGGCTTCCAGTGGCACTGGGTCATTGGTGTTTATTGAAGATATGACAGAAGACAGAAGCAGCCGGATGAATTCTGCAGTGTTTAGAGATATACTGTCAGCCCAGATTCAGCCAAATGCAGCAAAGTTGATTGGACGGAGCTTCACAGTACAGATGGACAATGATCCAAAACACACTGCAAAAGCAACCCAGGAGCTTTTGAAGGAAAAGAAGTGGATTATTCTGCACATGGACGAGTCAATCTCCTAATCTAAACTCCATTGAGCATGCATTTCAATTGCTGAAGGCAAACCTAGAGGCAGAAAGACCCACAAACAAAGAACAACTGAAGACAGCTGCAGTTATAGGCTGGCAAAGCATCAGAAAGGAGGAAACCCAGTCTTTGGTAATATCCATGGGTTCCAGACTTCAGGCAGTCATTGCTGGTAAAGGATTCTCAACAAATATTACAAATGAACATTTTATTTATAATTATATTCATTTGTCCAATTACTTTTGGTCCCTTGAAAAAGGGGGATGGCTATAGCTAGCTTTAAATGGTACCGAGATGGTATCAACATTTAGGACCCTGTACCCTAAACACGAGTACAGGGGCGGAATGACAACTCATGGGGCCCCCGGGCAATTGGGGATCATGGGGCCCCTGTGTCCTTGCCCACACTCAAAACACACACAAAAAAGCCTATAAAATGTACCAGGAGCATTTTATGGGGCCCCCTACTGACCCCCGGGACCTCGGGCTGTGCCAGAGTGCTCGAATGGTCAGTCCGCCCCTGCACGAGTATTACTTGGTACAGCTTTCAGTCTTGTCTAGCCCCAGTCTGCCAAAGACTTTTTATAGGCTGCCTGCAGTGGAGCTAGAGGCTGCACCCGTCAAACCTGGGTGCACTAAAGCACCGAGAGGGACTCACTGTAACTGAATAACTCAGTCTGCAAGGGGCCTGAAAATAAATTGCCGCTAATGAGGTGTGTGATGTTTTCTCTAACGACGTTAGAGAAAATATTTACATTCATTCGGCTGGTACAGCACAATAAGCACTAAACTTCTGGGCCTGAAACTACAGAGATAGATGTAACACACTGATCACAGCAGGTCACTCATTCAGCACCTCTTCCATTCAGAAAGCATCTTGCATTCTTCTCACAGAATACAAGGTGATTTGTGATTGAAGAGCTCACTTTTTAAGTAGCACGGTGGTCTGCATGTTCTCCCTGTACCTGCATGGGATTCCTCCGGGTCCTCCGGTTTTCTCCCACACAACAAAGACATGCTGGTAGGTTATTTGGCTCCTGTCTAAACTGGCCCTATTATCTGTGAATGTGAGTTAGGGACCTTAGATTGTACGCTCCTTGAGGGTTAGGAGCTAACATGAATG